TGGTGGTGGCAGTGGAGGTGACGGTGGTGACGAAGATGATGATGGTGGTGATGGTGGCGATGGTGATGAAGATGATAGTAATTATGGTGGTGAAGATGATGATGGTGGTGAAGACGATGATGGTGATGATGGCGGTGGCAGTGGAGGTGATGGTGGCATTGGTTGTGGTGGTCACAGACATGCAGTCTTAGTGATGGCAGAGGTGATGATACTGTTCATAGGAATAGAGGGTGTGACAGTGATGACAAAGATTGTAGTGGGTAATGGTGATCACACTGGTGGACATTGGTAGAGTGGTGGTAGAGATCATAGGGAAGGTGGTAGTGGTGACAATGGTAGTGATCGAGGGTAGCCACAGAGATCATAACATCAGAGGTGGTCTTAGGGATGATGGTCATTCTAGAGCTACGGTATGGTATGGGGCCCGTGGTGTGATAAAAATGCGAGTCTTCTGGAGCAGCTCCTTGGACAACTCCTGGGTTTTCCTATGGGAGGCAGAGGGGACAAGCTGGCTCTCCCATCCCTTCCCCTTCTCACTCTGGACCTGCTTCCCACCCCACCCCACGCGGCTCCCCCAGGTATGAAATGAAGGTGCTGGGCTACAACCTCCTGCAGGCCATGCGCTTTGTGGTGGAGGAGATCAACAACCATAGCAGCTTGCTGCCCGGCGTGCTGCTGGGCTACGAGATGGTGGATGTCTGCTACATCTCCAACAATGTCCAGCCCGTGCTCTACTTCTTGGCTCAGGAGGACTATTCCCTGCCCATCCAGGAGGACTACAGCCACTATGTGCCCCGGGTAGTGGCCGTCATCGGCCCTGACAACTCCGAGTCCACCGCAACTGTGGCCCACTTCCTCTCCCTCTTCCTCCTTCCACAGGTAAGGCCCCCAGCTCCTGGGAGAAGTAGCTGGGGAGGGCGCAGAGGAGTGGTTGTCCAGAGGGCTCACTTCCCCCCATTAGTCATGGGGGTAGGAGGAGGCGGGAAGCAGGGTAGGGATGCCAACCCCAGCCCTGGGAAGGCAGCCTGGCCGATGTGTTAAGAGCTCAGGCTTTGGAGGCAGACAGACCTGGGCGTGCCTCTTGGCTCTGAGTCTTGGCCATTGTGAGGCTTTGAGCAAATCTCTTGACCCTTCTGAGCCTCAGCTTCCCCACCTGTAAAACAGAATGATAAGAGTTCCATCCTAGGACTGTCTGAAAGTTAAAGGATTTAACCTCTGTAGGAGTTTGTGGGGTACGGTATGTCTTCAGTGATGCAATGGCCATTATGTAAAGCACTTTACACAAAAATGAAGACTCAGAAAGTGCTTACTATTATCCCGTACGGTTGCCTAGCACAGGGTCTACCACACAGTAGGTCCTCGAAAAGGGCCATTAGTATTAGTACTATTATTATAAGTGTCATCGTCATCATGACTGAAAATGCCTTGACCAGAATTGGCCTGAAATTTTCATGCATTAACGATCAGCTAGCACAAGAAGACAGCCCACAGTCAGTAGTTACAAATACTATAGTTTCTGCCGTCGTTTCTATTATGCAAAGCACCAAGGGTCTGACACATAGTAGGTGCTTAGTAAGTGTTAGTATACTTATGTGAGGCATCTAGTCTGGGACTGAACTCATTGTTTCATTCACTTAACCAATATTTATTGAGCTCCTCCGGTGCTAGGTGCTGTTGTAGGGCTCGGGATACAGGAGGGGGCAAAACATAAGAGCCCATCTCCTAGCGGGAGAGACAGGCCATGTCAGGGACCACGGGATAAGGCTGCTGGAAAGTGAGAAGTGCCGTGCAAGTAGAGCAAGTAAAGTAAGCAAGAAGTAAAAGGCAAGCAGGGTGAGGGAGGCTGGACAGGTCGGTGGACAGGCGGGTAGAGAGGGACTGCAGTTTCCAGCAGGGTGGTCAGGCGGGTCTCGCTGACAATTGGATGAAGACCCAAGGGAGGTGAAGGGGTGAGGGAGTCATGTGGGTGTGTAGAAGAGCCCCCCCCGCCCCAGGATGCGAGGGCAGCGAACGCAGAGGCCGGCAGGTGCCTGGTGCGTTCACAGAACCTGTGAGCAGAACTGGGACCCCGGGGAGAGTAGAAGGAGATAAGGTCAGAGAGGTGAGGGCTGGGGTCAGTGATGGAGCCTCTTGGGGGCCACTAAGGACTCTGGCTGCCCCTGAGTGACTTTTGGAGCTGTTAAGGGTTTTGAGCAGAGCAGTTAAGTAAGGTGACTGACACGTGCGTGCCGGGTCCCCTGGCTGCCACATTCAGCAGAGACCGCAGGGGGAAGGATGGGGGGGTTGCTGTGGGGACCCAGGCGGGGCAACAGTGGCCTGGGGAGGCCCTTGCTCACGCTGGTGGCGGTCCCCTCTGGCAGATCACCTACAGTGCCATCAGTGATGAGCTGCGGGACAAGCAGTGCTTCCCCGCCCTGCTGCTCATGGTGCCGGGTGCGGATCATCAGATTGAGGCCATGGTGCAGGTCATGCTCCACTTCCGCTGGAACTGGATCATCGTGCCGGTGAGCGGCGATGACTATGGACATCAACAGCCAAGTGCTCAGAGATGCTGGATAACTATGACTACAACAGCCAACTGCTCAACGAGCGCCTGACCACCCACGACATCTGCATCGCCTTCCAGGAGACGCTGCCCACGCCACAGCCCAACCAGGAGGTGACCCAGTGGGAGAGCCAGCGCCTGGAGGCCATCGTGGACAAGCTACAGCAGAGCTCAGCGCGCATCGTGGTCCTGTTCTCGCCCGACCTGGTCCCGCACAACTTCTTCCGTGAGGTGGTCCGCCAGAACTTCACGGGCGCCGTGTGGATCGCCTCTGAGTCCTGGGCCATCGACCCGGTCCCGCACAACTTCACCGAGCTGCGCAACACGGGCACCTTCCTGGGCATCACCACCCAGAGCGTGCCCATCCCGGGCTTCAGCGAGTTCCGCATTCACCCCGCCCAGGCTGGGCCACCTGCGCCCAACAGGACCAGCCTGGGGGCCACTTGCAACCAGGAGTGCGACACCTGCCAGGACACCACCGCGTCCTTCAACACCATCCTCGCGCTCTCTGGTGAGTGCGTGGTCTAGCGTGTACTCGGCTGTCTACGCTGTGGCCCAGGCATTACACAGCCTTCTGTGCTGCACCCAGACCACCTGCTCCAAGAGGGTGGTCAACCCCTGGCCGGTGAGGCCCCGCCCATGGAAAGTCAGGGTCCCACAGGGCAGGCATGGAGCGGTCGCCATGGAGACCGCTGGGTGCACCTCCTCTGCGCTAGCCTTCCCCTCGCTTGCTGTCTTCTGGGCAAACTGGTGGGAGAGGCCATGGGACCATGCCCTGCCTCCAGACACACAGAACCAGACAGAAGTCCTTCATGGTGACAAAACTCCTTTTTGTATTAATGTAATCATTGCCATCCAAGATGGCTTGTCCTAGGAGGAGATTTGGGTGAAATTCCCTGGAAGGAAGCCTGGCAGGCAGTGGGCGCCCCAGGTCCCCTGCCGTCTCTCTCTGGGCTGGAGGCCTTGGGGGCGGGCTTATGTATTCTGTCTGCTCTCTGAGGCCCTGCTTGGGGTTTATGCATCTTCTCTTGTCCCAGGTTTGTGTCATCTGGATTCAGACTTGGAGTTTAAATCTATGTTTTTCTGATATGTGTGCGCGCGCGCGCACGCGCGCACACACACACACCCACCAAACCATGAAATCTTCACAGGGCTAGAAGATTTTCCTGAGGATCTGGAGAAGCGGAGGGATTTACATCAGAGATATACACTTCATACCTTGTTATCCAGCATCTCTGAGCTCTCAGAGTGACCAGCCAGCCAGGACCGCACGCTGGGTCATTTGCTCACCATCATCACTTGCTCTCCACTGCGTCCTTCTCTCTGCCTCTGTCCACCCCCAACATCTCAGCTACAGCCCCTCTGTCCATCTGTTGGCAGGCAGAGCTTTGTACTCAGGCTGACCTGGGTTTGAATCCCAGCTTTGCCACCACTAGCTGTGAGACCTTGGGCAAGTTATTGAATATCTCTGAGCCTTGGATTTCTCATGTGTGAAATAGAAGGAATAACAGGCACTGTGCTGAGTTCTGGGGAGGACTGACCATGCTGTGTGCCCGGGACCTGGTGCAGAGAGGACCTGAATGTCTTCCTCTTTGTCCGCATCCATTTCTGACACCAGTATCTGGACAATGATAGTCCAGGCCTCCTCCCACTCAGGAGAGTTGCAGGGACGATCCTTCCTTCCTTCCTTCCTTCTTAAAAATTTTTTATTTATTTATTTGTCAGAGAGAGAGAAAGAGAGAGAGAGAGGGAGAGAGAGCACAAGCAGGGCAGGTGGCAGGCAGGGGGAGAAGCAGGCTTCCCGTTGAGCAGGGAGCATGATGTGGGGCTCCATCCCAGGACCGTGGGATCATGACCTGAGCTGAAGGCAGATGTTTAACCAACTGAGCCACCCTGGCATCCCAGGGAGGATCCTTTCTGACCCCCTAACTTGGAGCCCTGGAATCCCAGGTTGCTCAGTCTGGCCTGGCCAGGTCAGTGTGGGGATATGACCTGGACACCAGGAGCTGGCTCCCCCCGGGACTCCACCATCCTGACCCCCGCCCATAGGCCTACCACCTGGGAGGAACCTCCCTCCTCTCAGCTCCCAAGACCATTGCCCTTAGTGTTAGCAACATGTGCAAATTCCAGAGAAGCTTCCAGAGCCAGGACCTCACTCCCTGGGCAGAGTGGGAAGAAGGCCAGGGCCCCGAATTCCTTGGCTAGCTGTCTGTCGGTCCCAGAGTGGAGGTGAGCTCTGGGCTCCCGAGATATAGCCCAATAGACTCTCCCATTTATGGAGGGAAAATCTAGGAGCCAGACTGATGGAGTATCTACACTGGAAGTTCTTTTGGCGGGTCAGCCCAGAGAGGTTCAGTGGCTTGCCCAAAGTCACACAGAAAATTAGGGAAAGAGCTCAGATTGGAATTCAGGCCACAGGATGCCCAGTCCAAAGCATGTTCCAGTTTGTACCAGCTTCTGCGTACTCAGAGTGATGGGGGATGGCATCGGGAGAGACTGGAGAGTGGCCTCCACTGGTTGGGGAGGCAAGAAGCACCCAGAGGGCAGGGGCAGGTGCAGCTGACCCTTGCGGGTGAGAGAGGCCAGTGGGCTCTGGAGCCCAGGTATTGGATCCCCAAAGGATGGCGGAGGTGACGTCCAGGGAGAAGGAATACCACCAACACCGCTGCGGGAGGTGAGTATTTACTTGTTTGCAGGTACTGTGCTAAGTTCCCAACATAGGTAAACTCACTGATGGCTTCAGAGCCCAGGAAGCAAGGTTTTTGTTGTCCTACTTCGCTGAAGAGGAAACTGGGGCTCGCAGAGGTCAAGCGACAGGTCCAAGGCCCCATAGCTGGTGTCTAAACCCAGAGGTATCTGACTCCAGAGCTGCGCTCTCAGCCACTGCCTCCCGGATGGCCCCCTGCACAGTCCTACGGCCCCCTTGGGCGGCTGTGGAAATCAAGGCTAGTAGGTCAGGAGAATTTCCCCCAGGTCTGGCCCGGACTCGTGCCAGCCTCCCTTCCTTTCCCTTTGGCCCCTCCAGCTACTTCAGGAAATCTGGAAGGTCAGCTTCACCCTCCGGGGCCACGAAATCTTTTTTGACAAGCAAGGGGACCTGCTCATGAGCCTGGAGGTCATCCAGTGGCAATGGGACCTGAGCCAGAACCCATTCCGGAGCATCGCCTCCTACTACCCCAAGCTGTGGCAGCTGAAGACCACCCACAACGTCTCCTGGCACAACGCCAACAACACGGTCAGCTCCCGCACGGCTGCAGGGGGGCCGGGGCCTGTAGCTGGGCGGCCGGCTCGGGCTGGGGTGGCCCCGGGCGCTTTGGGCCCGAGATCTGTTATCGACAGCCGGTGGGGGCTCTATTTGTTGCGGGAGTGTCTGGGCCCTGTCCCTCCCAGTGACTAAGCACTGGGGACGTCTAGGGCTTTCTGGCTGCTCAGGACCCAGGGGCTCAGGGGCTGTGCCACGTGGGTGTTAAGGATTTCAGTTCTCATGTCAACCAATGCTCATGATTTTGCTACAGTCGCTGTCCCCTCCACCGAGTGTGCCATCTGTCATTCGAAAGCTCCTTTGTTTTACCCTCTTTGATAATAAGCTGTCGCGATGGCGGTGGTGTGGGGAGGGGCAGAGACCCAGCCTTGTGTGGAGGGGGAGCGGATAGAAAAGCTCAAGGAGGCTTCATCGGCATCCTCCCCACCCCCCCCACACACTTCATTCTCGTTTCTGGGGGGTTTGGTGCTGCTAGTTTCTGCGCTTTGCGGGGATTTTCATGGAGTCGGTTGGGTGGGTGTCTTGATTAATTTGTGAGGAGGACCACAGTCTGGGGGTTGGAACAACACAGATGTACTGTCTCCTGGTTCTGGGGGCTGGCAGTTCAACTTAAGGTGTCAGCAGAGTTGGTTCCTTCTGAGGTCTGTGAGGGAGAATGTTCCGGGCCTCTCTCCCAGCTTCTGGTAGTTTGCTGGCCATTTCTGGCTTTCCTTGGCTGGGGTGGTCTCCCCTGGCCTCTGCCATCGCCTCCATATGGCCTTCTCCTTGTGGGTGTGTCTGTCTCCAAATCTCCCCTTTTGTAAAGACTTCAGTCCTATTGGAGTAGGGTCCACCCCTCTCCGATAGGACCTCATCTTGACTACAACTGCAATGACCCTATTTCCAAATAAGGTCACATTTGTAGGTCCTGGGGGTCCAGACTTTAATCTGTGAATTTTGAGGGCAGGCAATTCAACAAATAAGAGTGTCTTTGCCTGGGTTTCTCCTAAAGCAGAGCCTGAGGCTAAGGTTTATGCGCAGATAGCTTATTCCAGGATCTGCTCCCTGGGTATAGGAGTAGGTGATGGGGGAGAGCTCGTCAGGGACACAGGGAACGTCAGTAGAAGGGAACGTTCTCAAGCTGCGGTTGAGCTCAGTCTGACCAGGACCTTCTGAGGGGCCACTTTAGAGCTGTCCCCAAGGGAGAGAAAAAGATGGGATGGGTCCATGGGATCTGTACCAACCCCCCCCCAACCTGCTGTGGTCAAGGGTCGCCCCATGGGGCATTGACTCTTCTTGGGCTTCTGGGTCACTCATGTGTGGGTGCCCAGCAATTTCCCACCAGCATCTCACACCCAGGACCCAGGGCAGAGAGCGAAAGAGACAGAGTGCCGCCTAGGTGAGGTGCTGACAGGTAGCGCCCACAAGAGGCAGTTGCTGTGGCCATGGCAGGAATAAAAGGAGGTTGGAGAAGACGTGAGGGAGGCCACAGAGATGGGATGCTGTCCTTCCCCCGGCCAGTGGGGTGGAGCTTTGAGGGCAGAAGCCAACCCAGTCCCTCTACCGGGAGCTGAGTGGAACCCCCACAGCCCCTGCTGCTGCAGCAGGGTCCCAGGTGGAGCCCCTACTCCTCATGTCTCCCTCTGCCACCCATCCCGGAGTGTCCTTAATCCTCAGCCACTTGGCTGCTGGGGTGATCCAGACACTCGTCCCCAGGTGTCTGAGCCTGTGGTCGCCTTGTCCTTGCTGGCCTGTGGCTGTGGCAGGTGTCCAGCAAGCAGTGAGGACTGGGCCGCCGTGGCCAACCTCCCGGATTCCAGACCCAGTGCTTCCTACCCTCTTGACTACCAGCCTCCTAGCCGCTCACGCTTATCCAAATCGGTTACCTCCTCCTTCCTTGGCTGTCTTGTTCACTGGCATCAGGCCCCTGAAGTGACCAAGGGGGGAACCAGACAGCCTCTTTTGTCTGCTGGTGGAAGTAGTCCCTCTTTGGAGACCAGAACCTGTGTTCTAGCAGAGTCCAGGCTTGTGGGGATGAGACACCCCAGCTCCACCGTGAGCCCCCGAGAACCATGGTGAGCGTGGCCAATCCTTCCGCCGCATGGTTGCTGGACCCCTGTATTCTAGCTGTTGGGGCCACAGTGCTATATACCAGCCTCCCATTCAGTGCTTATACTTCATCCTAAAGGGCTGTGGCCCTACCCTCAAGGTGTTTTCCGCAAGCTGGTACCTTACCTGAACCCTTAGTATGCCATACCATCATCCCGTTAGGCTGGGTACTTCCAGGCGACATGGTCTATGTTGGGATCGGTAGATCCGGGGGTCACGTGCCCAATCACACCCCCTTTGCCATACAAAGGGTCTCTTGTCTGAGGGGATGTTCTGGGGGGACCCATGAGGGTGACTCAGTCAGTCCGTGCAGCCTTGGAAGGTGGCTTTGCACTGTGGATGGGAGAGGCGAGTTTTTATACGGATGCATCAGTGCTCCCTCCAGGGAAGAAGACACCCGACTTGGTAGGTGTGCCAGCGTCTACGGAGAGTGGAAGCAAATCCAGGGTTCATCACGGTCTCTGGGCTGGAAGGCTGGGTGCTCAGCCGTGGCCATAGCTCTGTCGACCAAGGAGATAGGGGCCCACGCTGCTGCGCTCACGCCCACAGCCTCCATCCCTGACACCGTGGGCACTCTGCTCGTGGCCCATTGTGTGAGCCCCGGGGAGGGGGTGGCGGCGAGGGCAGAGGCCAGCTGACCTGTGCTGGGGGCTTCATCCTTTCCGTCTGTTTTTTTTCTCAGTCCGTGCGTTCTTGGATTGGCATTCACATGAGACACAAAAGTCATCATCACTGATTTGAGGAATATGCTTGCTCCCCCTTGGCCTGTTTTGGCCCGATCCTGAGCACATCATTTCCGTTGCATGGAGACTTGCCACTCTTCCTGCCCGACCCCACGACTCCGTGCGTCTGAGGTCACTTGAGGTCCTGAGGCCACGTGCTGTTTTTCCACGAAGGCCCAGCAGGGCACGGGAGCTGATTTGCAAACTGCGTCGTACCTTGTTGTGGAAGGCGTGTTGTAGCTGTACCGTGTAACTCTCTTACTGGGGCTTGCCCATCTTGTTCTCTGCAGGTGACCTTGGCATCAGCACATCTGCCTGGCCATATGAGGAGAGCGTGCCCTGCAGCCAGGTCCTTCTTCAGAGTCTTTTTCTAGGCTTGTCATTCTGTACCTTGAAACCGGAAGCCATCGGAGTCGCCTGCCAAATGTGGGTTGGAGCAGTATTTCCAAGAGCAATTTACGCTCTCCCCCACCTCTGAAGGTTCATCAAGTGCCATACTTCTTTAATGGTAGGAGATGTAAGATGTAATGACTCGTCCTTTGGCATAGAGAGGATGTCCTGGCATTTCCCAGACCACGGGACCGCTAAAAGCATCACCGGTGTGGCAGGCCCCCTTTGAATCTTTGAAAGGTTTATCATATACACTTATCCTTAAGGATTCACGTCCTAGTGGGGCATAAAGAGTGCTTGCTACTTCCTACTCATCAGATCCAATGAGTACGATGCCATAGATAACAGTGGACCAGCATGACGTTCTACAGAATTCCAGAGTGATCTAGTTCCGTGTAGACCAAACCCTGATGGAGCGAAGCGTAAACTTAGCTCTGCCGTGAGAGTAAATGCTAGCGATTTGAGAGCTTTCTTCTTCTTTCAGTAGGCATTTAGAGCTGTATATATCCCTCTAAGTACTGTGTTCACTGCATTCTATAAGCTTTGGTATATATTAATTTAAAAAAAATTAAATTATGGTAAAAAAAAAACCCTATAACAACATTTACCGCTTCAACCATTCTTTCCCCCAAATTTTCCTATTGTGGCAAGATATACATAACTAGTTTACCATCTTAACCATCTTAAAGTGCACAGTTCAGTGGTATTAGGTGCATTCACATTCCTGTGCTAGCACCACCAGCCTCTCCCTCCAGAACTCTTCATCTTCAGAACGGAAACTTTATGCCTGTTAAACACTAACTCCCCATTCCAGCCTCTCCCCAGCCCTGGAAACCACCGTTCTACTTTCTGTTTCTGTGAATTTGACTAAGAACCTCCTAAAAATGGAATCACACAGTATTTGTCTTTTTGTGACCGGCGTATTTTACTCAGCATCATGTCCTCAAGGTTCAACCATTTTGTAGTGTGTGTCAGAATTGCCTTCCTTTTCAAGAGTGACTAATCCATTCAATCAGTGGATTGTGATTATGAATAATCATAATCTAGTAAAAAAATATCGCTTTTGCTTATCTGTTCATCCATCGATGGGCACACTTGGGTTGCTTCTACCTTTAAGCTATTGTGAATAATGCCGCTACCAACATGGGTGTGCAAATATCTTGTTGAGACCCTGCTTTCAACTCCTTTGAGTATCCACCCAGAAGTGGAAACTGGATCATGTGTTAATACTCTTTTTGATTTTTTTGAGGAACCGCGTTCCTCCACAGCGGCCGCACCATTTCACATTCCCAGCCGTGAACAAGTGGTTCCAGTACCTCCACGTCCTCGCCAACACCCCTTATGTTCTGTTTTGTTTGTTTGTTTTTGTTTTTCATAGTAGCCAACCTAATGGGTGTGAAGTGGTCTCTTGCTGTGGTTTTGATTTGCATTTCTCTACTGATTAATGATTGAGCATCTTTTCAAGTGCTTATTTGTCATTTTTATCTCTTCTTTGGAGAAATCACTATTCAAGTCCTTTGTCCATTTTTGAATTGAGTTATTATGTTCTAGGAGTTCTCTCTATATTCTGGATATTAACCCCTTGTCAGATATATGATTTACAAATATTGTCTCCCATTCTGTGGTTTGTCTCTTGGAGTGTCACTTGATGGACAGAAGTTGTAAATTTTCATGAAGTCCTATCCAGGACATCATTGCCAGATCCAGCGTCATGAAACTTGTGCCCTGTGTTTTCTCCTAGCTGTTTTTATGGTTTTAAGTCTCCTATTGAAGTCATGGATCCATTTTGAGGTAATTGTATATGGTGTTAGGTCCAACTTTATTCTTTTTTATGTGGATATCCAGGTTTCCCAGCACCATTCATTGGAAAAATGATCTTTCCCTCACTGAATGGTCTTGGAACTCCTGTCAAAAATCATTTCACCCTATGTGTGAGGGTTTGTGTCAGGACTCTATTCTATTTTATCGGTCTGTATGTCTGTCTTTATGCCTGCGCCACATTGCTTTGATTGTTGTAGCTTTGTAGTAAGTGTTGAAATCAGGAAATGTGAGTCTTCCAGCTTTGTTCTTTTTCAAGAGTACCCTGGGTATTCAGCGTCCCTTGAGATTCCATCTGAACTTTAAGATGGGTTTTTCTATTTTTGCAAAAAAAAAAAAAAGTCATTGGGATTTTGATAAGGATTGCATTAAATCTGCAGATTACTTTGGGCGGTATTGACATTTTCACCATGTTAAGTCTTCCAAGGCATAAACGTGGAATGTCTTTCCATTTACTTAGGTCTCAGCTTCTTTCAGAAGTGTTTTGACCCCTTCTCCTCTGTTCTGCTGCTGCCTCGTTAGCTAGAACCACCACCATTTCTCACCTGGGCTATTGTGACAGTACCCTACTCACTTCTGCTCTTGTCCCTCACAGTTTAAACTCAACATGGAACCCAGGACAAACCTGTTAAAAGGAAGTCAGATCCTGTCACTCCTCTGTGTGGAAGCCTCTTGTAGTTTCTCGTTTCACTCAGAGTAAAAGCCCAAGTATTTTGATGCCACCTCTTCGAACGGAGCTGCTGCTGTCCTTTGTGCTCATTGTGCTCAAGCTACGTGAGGCTTGCTGCTCAGCGACCATGCCGTGTGCCCTCTGCCATGGGGCCTTTGCACATGCTGTTCCCTTGGCCTGTACAGATCTTTTAGTGGCTTGGTCCCTCACAGCCTCTAGGTTTCTGCTCCAGTGTCAGCTGCTCAATGAGGCCACACTTGCCCAGCCCATTCAAAATTCGCAATCAGCCCCTCTATCACTTTCCATCCCCACTGCGTGGCTCTACTTTCCCTCATGGTATTTATTACCACCAGTCAAGTTACATATTTATATGCGTATTGTGCTTTTTCCCCATGAAAGTATTCATTCCTTAAGAACAGAGATTTGGCCTCCTTGCGTTCACTGCTGAATTCTCAGTGTCTGGCATCGGTATGAGCTCAATACCTTTTTGAATGAATGAATGAATGAGTGAATAGCAGGTTGAGAGTCCATGAGTAAGAGTAGAATTAAGTTAGCTATTTAGGGAATAGTGAAGAGATGAGTTTGGAAGGTGGTGGTGGGGACCACACAAGGCAAGGGGTTAGTAAGGTGTAGGTCTGGATAAGGCGCGCATGTGTGTAGGTGGGCACATGTGTGTGGTCCCACGGGAGGCAGAGAAGACTGCCAGCAGCCTGGAGAGGTTGGTGGGGGATCAGATGTTTCACTTTGGCTGATGGAGAGCCTCTGAGGTTCTTCCAGGAAGGAGCTTCAGGCAGGAGACAAGACGTCTGGAGGTGTCTCCTGACGGCCACGAGCAGGAGGGACGACAGGGGTGGAGCAGGAAGGCAGGTGACCGGTCAGAGGCAAGAAGGGAGGGGCTCTGGGGTCAAGTGGTCCTACTGTGGCTCCCCTTGTCTGGGCCCTGGCCCTCCATATGTGTGCTCTTGGAACAACACCCTCCTATTGGTGCATCAGAACGATTTTTGTACCACCTGGATCTAATCAGGCTGCCCCCCACCCAGGGGCCCTCATTGTTTCCCACTGCCCCTTCATTCTTAGTGTGCCTCACACGAGCCTTCAGGATGTGGCTCTCCTACTCTCCACCCTTCTCCTGGGGCATGCTGACTCCCTTCTATTCCCCTGCCCTTACTGTTCCCTCTGCTTGTAATTCATTCCTGTGCTCAATAAACCATCAGGGGGGGCTCCTCTGTTCTCTAGAAATAGAGCAGTAAGAACAACAGACATGGCCACTGCCTACCTGCTCTTGTTCATCTGAAAACCCCTGCCCCTCCACAAAGGTTGTGTTAATTAGACTCTTATATGCACATGGCAGAAGGTGATGTAAGCACAGAGTGAAGTTGTTGCTTCCTATCATTGAAAACTCCAGGGGTAGACCATGTGGACTTCAGGCATGGATGGATCCAGGGTCTCTCTCCAGATCTCAGTTCCTTCCTTGGGAGTGTTCCCCCTCCATGGAGACAAGGTGGCTGCTCACAGCCCCAGAGTCACATCTTATCTGCCCGGCAACCTCAGGAAGTCTCTGTCTCAGCAGTTGGGTGCTGTCACCTGAAGATGTTGGATTAGGTGTCAGGCAGGCCAAACTAAGAGGGCCCCTACAAAGGTTCAGTTCTAATGGCAGTTCCTGCTCCTTCCCTATCCCAGACAGGGGCCAGGCTTCTTTTTCCTGAGCATCCTGCTAGGTGGGCTCAGGGTCTCTTGTCCTCCTCCCTCCAGATCCCTGTGTCCATGTGTTCCAAGGACGAACAGCCTGGGCAAAGGAAGAAGCCCGTGGGCATCCATCCCTGCTGCTTCGAGTGTCTTGACTGCCTTCCGGGCACCCTCCTCAACTGAACTGCAGGTAGGACTTGCAGACCCACTCCCCTGCCCCGCCCCACCCTGCCTTGCCCAGGGCCCTTCATCTTTAACAGGGTTTCTGGAGTCTCCCCCAGGGACTGTGTCTGATTCCAGTGTATCTCCCTAGGAGCTGGTGTAGAGAAAAATCTTCAGTGCACACTATTAGGGAGGGTGGGAGAAGGAACAGCTCTCAACCAGGCAAGGCTGTCACTGATCCTCACTCCATACACATGTAGCCGAGGGCCCAGGGGTGTCAGATCAGAGAAGGTCCACTGGATGGATGGATGGATGAATGAATGAATGTCTCTGTCCCTAGAAGAGATGTCTCTGGCAGGTCGGGACAGGATCTGATTTATCTCTCTGACCTCCCGGTGCCTAGTGTAGTTCGGAGCATATAATGGTTTCTCAGTGAATATTTATTGACTGACATCCTTGATTAGACAAATTAATATCTTCCCCTATAGATCATAAACTCCAGGAAGGTGGGGACAATGTCCATATTAGTGTTGAGCACGGTTCACTGTTGGGGCTCAAATTATTTTTTTATGACTTCCCTGATTAGTAAATAAGTGGATATAGACATCTACCAGTCAGTAGATCGGTGCTTCCATAGTACTTACTATGTGCCCAGCAGAGCCCAGCGCACAGAGTAGGTGCTCAACAAAAGTTTGTTGGATGACTTCACAGGCTTTTCCTCTCCTGGTTAGTCAGTAGCCTGAAGTCAGGGGGCTAGGTTTCATCCATGTCTGTGGCTCCCCACCTCAGATGCCCACCACCACGGAGGGTGCTCGAAAAAGCATTTGTTGAATGAATTCTTTGACTAAATGCTTGAATGTCTATTCCACCAGAGGGTAAGGTCTTGGAAGGAAGGGATTACCGTTGTTAGGATCTGGGTCAAGGGAACCTCGGTTCAAATCTTGCCTCTGTAACTTACTGGTTTTGTGACTGCCTGGCTGAGCCTCAGATCTTTGTAGGGACCCAGTTTGGCCTGCTTGACACCTAATCCAACTTCTTCAGGTAACAACACCCAACTGTTGACTTCCTGAGGTTACCGGGCAGATAGGATGTGACTCTGGGGCTGCGAGCAGCCACCCTGAGCATGGGGTTGCAGTGAGGAGTTGATGGGCCGATGGATATAAGGGACGCAGCGAGGGGCGGCTAGGACTGTGGGCGTTGCCTTCAGCTCCACGCACTCCCACCCCGAGGCCTGGCACGGGGCAGGTGCAGAGGATGCGGGTGCCAGCAAGGCGGGTGTGGCTGACGGGAGCTGCCGTGGGCTCTTGCAGACGAATTCAACTGTCAGTCCTGCCCAAGTTACGAGTGGTCTCATAGGAATGACACCTCCTGCTTCAAGTGGCGGCTGGCCTTCCTTGAATGGCACGAGGCATCCACCCTCACTGCGGCCATGTTGTCCATCCTGGGCTTCCTCAGCACCCTGGCCATCACGGTGATCTCCTGGAGGCACCTGCACACGCCCGTGGTTCGCTCGGCCGGGGGCCCCATGTGCTTCCTGAGGCTGATGCCGTTGCTGCTGGCATACACCACGGTCCCCATGTACGTAGGGCAGCCCACGTTCTTCACGTGCTTCTGCCACCAGACCTTCTTCACCCTCTGCTTCACCATCTGCATCTCCTGCATCACCGTGTGCTCTTTCCAGATCGTCTGCATCTTCAAGATGGCCAGGCGCCTCCCACGTGCCTACGGCTACTGGGCGCGCTACCATGGGCCCTATGTCTTCGTGGCGTCCTTCACCGTGCTCAAGGTGGTCATTGTGATGGGCAATGTGCTGGCCGTGAGCACCAACCTTACCGCCCGCACCGACCCTGACGACCCTAAGATCATGGTTCTGTCCTGCAACTACCACAAGGCACTGCTGGTCAACACCAGCCTGGACCTGCTCCTGTCTGTGGTGGGCTTCAGCTTCGCCTACATGGGCAAGGAGCTGCCCACCAACTACAACGAGGCCAAGTTCATCACCTTCTGCATGACCTTCTACTTCACCTCCTCCATCTCCTTCTGCATCTTCATGTCTGTCTACGAGGGGGTCCTGGTCACCAACATGGACCTCTTGGTCACCGTGCTCAACCTCTGGGCATCAGCCCGGGCTACTTTGGTCCCAAACGCTACATGGTCCTCTTCTATCCGGAGCGTAACACGCAGGTCTACTTCAGCAGCATGATTCAGGGCTACACCATGGGGAAGGACTAGCACCGTCCACTGGCTGCCCAGGGGGCTGGAAGGCTCTGCCCTGGGAGATGGAGACAGGGGGCGGGGGGCTTGCTTATTCAGCCCCAGCTGGGCACAGGGATGCTATCCCTGACTGTTACTGCCTCACCCTGCTCTGATTTGGTCTCCGCCCCCCCCCCCCCCCCCCCCCAGGTTTCTTTTCATCCTGGCCATGTTTACCCCCCTGGTGGTGGATGCCTAAAAATATTCACACTTTCCCTATAGCTGTTTGGCTTGCCAGGCACTGCCATCCATTCTAGGAAAACCTATCCAGGGTGACCTGTTGGTCTCCAAGGCAGAGATGGATTTAAGCAGCCGACAGTCGCCATCTGGTGGCCACAGTTGGTTTGTCTGCAGGTTCGGGCTCCTTCCCTTCAGTCCTGTTCACAGGGTGAGGGGAGGCGGCGCTGGTGTGCGGGGATGTCTGCCGGGGGTCAGTCACTAGCTGCCCACGGGTCCGTGCCTCACCTCCCAGACTCCCCCAGAGCTTGTGACCCAGCGCCTCTGAGTAACGGCTGGGCATTGGGGCTGCTTCATAAATGCATGGAAATAAATCTCACTTGGGCGAAGTGAATGAATTTCCTTCTTGTTTGCAGAGGTCCTCAGAGAAAGAAAATTTCAGTCAGTGACCTCAGTTTCTCTCCCAGCACTGCCGCTTCTGAGCTGTGTACTTGGGGCCAATTATTTACCCTTTCAGAGCCTCCACTTCCTCGTCTCTACAATAGGAACAATAACTGCTTCGCTGGGACACTGAAGGATCAGAGAGAATGGGTGTGGGGTGCATACAGTGGGTACTCAATAAATGCCAACCATTGCAAATCCACATGTCCCTTGAACCGTCAGGGTCAAAAGAAGGCTGTGTTTCCTTTTTACACCCCAATGTCCATGGTACACATTCTAGTCGATGGGGTATTGCCTCTGTTGGAAACTAACTTGGCCCCCAGAAAATTCTGGGTGTTTTCTGGGGGGGTGCTTGGGCCTCACGTGTGCTGCCATCTCGGCACTGCTGAAGCTCCGAGAAGGGGCTGTTCTGGGTGCGGCTGTGCCTATGCCCGTCACCCTCGATGGCAGGAGGAGCCCTGACCCTTCTGTCCGGGGGTCACACCTGGCCTCTCAGAGCTCCGCGGCGAGCCAGAATTTCAGTGCTGAGGCCTCTGAACTGCTGCCCAGAGAGGCTGAGTGACCGGCTCCAGGGCGGCCAGGTGGAAGGTGGGAGCAGGAGTGTCAGAGGCTCAGGCCCCCTGAAGACCCAGTTACCGGGGTGACCTTGTGACTATCTCAGAGCCCCCCGGGAGCGGTTTCTAGATTGGCCCCACACCATCCCTGGCAGGAGCAACTTCCCGAAGCTCATTTGCAGCAGGGAGGGCAGGACCATCTCCTTCTTGTCCTGGATTTACCCTTCTCATGCTTCAAGGAGGTGGGTGGTGGGATCTTGGCTTGAATCACCTGCAGTTTGGGAGAACTGCCCTCACGTTTGGGGGCTGCTTCTTCATCAGCCACCCCAAGAGCATCAGGGGACAGTCCCTGTTTCTCTTGCCAGATTCGGCCCAGAGCAGGTGCTCCACGAATACTGACGGAGAAGCTAAGTCACTCTGCTGCCCCCACCCCCGACCCCGCTCCCTTGAGCCACAGCATCATTAATTCCATGCTTGTCTCGTGGCCTTTGGGGCCGGATCCTGAGCGGCATCGAGAAACAGAAAACAAACACTTGTGCTCACCATCGGTGAGGACAACAGCAAACATGAATTACTCTCCCTGCGGGCTTTGCTGCCTCATTCACTATTTTCTCACCAAACTCCAGCAGTCCCGTACTGTTAGGGTCCTTGTTTTACAGGTGGGGGAAGAAGGGCCCTCCCAGAGGTCATGAACCTTCCCTGGGCCCTCCCAGCGCGTCCCCGGAGCCACGACCCTCTGTGGAGAAGGACCCAGACGTCCTGCCTGGGGAGCTGGTGTGGGGAGAGCCGTGATCACAGTGGAGGGGGGATGCAGTCTCTCCAGCAGGTGCTGTGGTGTGCCGGGGGGGGCCTCAGACTTTAGGGAGACGGCTGGAGGATGCGGTGCCCAGGGAAGACCCCGGGGGGAAGCTGGCATCTGGAAAGAACAATGAAAGGCAGAGCAGTGCCTGGAAGGCAGGGAGTCTGAGTGGGAAGATAGCAGGAGCCAAGGTGGGGTGCCAGGTGGCCCGGGCAGCCTGACCAGGAGCACAGGGCTGAAGGTGGCCCGTGCGAGAACCGGGCTTGGAAGGCTAGCTGGGGCTGGACGTGGGGGCACGCTGACCGGGGGCCTGAGCTTGTCCTCCTGGCGCCCACCGCCAGCATCCGTGCGCATGCTGGCTTGTCCCATCCTGGGTCCCCCGAGGGGCTGTCCCTGGCTGTCCCTCGCCTCTGTCCTCTTCCCACACACAGTCCTGAGCCCTGGCCTGGCCCGATGGCTGGAGACCGCGGGGGAAGACCCCAAGGATGGACTGCTGTGTGTGCGCGCATCCCTCCTCCATCCCCTGCTCTTGGGGCCCAGGGGGAGACCTCACCCCAGCCCTGAGCTTCCAGCGAGCAGCTCTGCCGTCTGTTCCTGGATGTGTCTGTGCCCTGTCCCCCTCGCCCTCGGGACCAGATTGCCAGGCTCAGGGAGTTTTAAGCTCTTAATTCTCTTTTCTTGCATGCTTCTGACGCCTTGGCTTAAAATTTTTTTTTTAAGAGATAATGACCTCCTTTTCCTGGTTCTGCCTCGCGGACCGCCATCAGAGAGAGAATCCCGGAATCCCACTGACCTCAGAGGCATCTGCTCCACACCTCCCTCTACAGCTGCCCCGAGCTGAGAGCCTCATCCTCCTTGTTCACCTCCGGTGACGGGAGGCTCACGGAGGACAACGCCAGTGAAATTTTCCTTAGATTGAATCAAACCCGACTCTTCGGGATTTCTATTTACGGACCTTAGTTCCATCTTTCGGGGACCACAAACTCAATTTCATTCCTCTTTCTCATGATGGTCTTTTGTACGTAGTGGCAACAAGTATAATTGCCTCTCGGGGGGTGCTGACCCTGTGACAGGTGCCTCACACCTGCGAACTGTAATCCCCACGACGCCCCTGCCCGATGGGTACCCGTGGCCATCCGTGGCCACGTGCCGATGCCTGCCAGCATCCTCTTCCGTCCCACCCTACCTGGCAGCCCCTGTTCTCCCAGGAGAGATCTATGTTGTTCTGGGGAAGCTGACTCTGTCCTGGCTCCGGGCGGGGCGGGGGGAGCAGGTGACCCAGGCCGAGGGTTGGTCTGATCAGAGGGACTCTCAGGACGTTTCCTGGGACAGGGATTCTTTCTGTAGGAACTAGTAAGCCTGAGACTCAGCAACTCCTGTGGGACCACAGGGCAAGTCAGCCTTAGAGGGAAGTTGGACTTCGCAGAAGATAAAGTGGGAGTCCTTGGACCCCAACGAGGTCCTTGGAAACTTTTGAGCTGACGGATCCGGCTTGAAGGCAGCGCCCCCTCTGAAATCTTGCTGAGTCCATTCATGTGCCTTATTGCTTACGGTAGTTGGAGTTGTGTGTTCCGCCCCTGGCAACCCAACACATCTTTATCCTGCTGAAGAGGAAACTGAAGCTCAGAGAGGCTGATTAACTTGCTCAGGGTCACCCAGCTTCTAAGTCAGGGAGCTGGGATTTGGAGAATTGGGGCGTATGGTACTGCGTTTTCAGATCATCTCTTCTTGGTCTAAAGGTCATCAGTTGCCCTTCGGACCCGATTTTGAGCACCATCGTAGTTCACTCCGTCGGGCACACGCTGACCTGTAAACGCCTCTCTTAGAGCATCTCTCGAGCCTCCCTCTCCCGGGCCCCTGACATCCTTCCCACACCAGTGCAGCTGAGTGATGTCCCCTTAGCCCCGTCCTGGTCACAAGCTTTCCCAGCTTGGACCCCTTCCGTGGTTCCCGGGTGCCTACATGACACCGCCCAGCCTCCTTCGTGTGCCGGTCAGGTGCTTTGAAATCGGGCTCCCGCTCGCCTCTCCAGCCTCACCTCCCGGTGGCTCCGGTGGGCTCCTGGCTCTTCCCCAAACACTTGCCTGGCTTCACACGTATGCTCAAGCTCTCCCTTCTCTCTTCCCCCTGCTGGCCTTAACCTTGATCCCCTAAGGCCCAGTTTAAATGCTCCCTCCCTGAGGAAGACTTCCTTGCCTTGGGGCAGAGGAAATCCTTGGTCTCAGCATCCCTGAGCTGCTTGAGTTCAACTCCCGCTGGTGCTGCTGACGTGCCTTTCTGGTCTGGGACCACCTGAGTCAAGGGGCAGGCTGTTCTCTGTGTGGCCTTCGTCTCAGCTCTCATGTCCCCTCTGATGCATTTGCTGCTCGAGGCGTTGGGCCCCTGTTGGCTGGGTGGAGAAATGCCGGGGCCTTTTGCAGGGCTGGCACCGAGCTGGTGGGAGCTGGTGGGAGCTGGCTGTGGTCTGGGGCCCAGGGGCCGGGCCAGGCCAAGTGTGCTCTTCCCTGGTGGCTGGGCTGCAGGGGGAAGGGAGAGGGAGACCGAGGGAAGGCAGAAAGCTGGAGCTGGGCCTTCCAGGCAAGGACAGGTTTGTAGCGGACTTGATAGCCCCTCCGCCACTCAGACCAGAGACTTCAGTCTCGCTGACCACTCTTGCTCAGCCTGCATCCTATCTGTCAGCAACATGGTTGGCTCTACCTTCAGAAGAGACCCCAGCCCCGGGGTAAGCCTCGGTTCCAGCAACAGCCTCCTAGCTGCTCTCCTTGCTTCTGCCCTGGTCCCCACCATATGCAGGCTGTTCCTTGTACAACCTAGGTCACTTCCTATCCCTCCTCTGCCCAGTGCCCGGGGCTCCCCATCTCTCTCAGATGAAGAGCCATGGTCTTTGTGCTGGCATTAGGCCCACAGGGCTCCCCACCACCTCTCCCACCTTGCTGTGGACACCCCTCCCTCTACGCCTCTGCGGCCACGCTGGCCTTCTCACCATCCCCAGACGTGCCATGTGTATG